TGTAACTTCTTAGTCCAATTCAGAATCAATCCTTGTTCGGCTAGACAGTAAAGGCAAAAAACAAAAAATGCTGAGTGCACGCAGACTAATTTCCCCATTGCTCTCAATCAGGCCTCTTCTACCTTTTGCTGTGAAAGGATCAATGCTCAAAACCTAGAAACAAATTAGATAGGCAGGCAGACGTTGGCGTAGCCCTTGTCGTGAAAGCCAGGCTACTGACTGTGGTGTGATTGTACCGGTCAAGACATAGCTTTAAGGTCTGTTGACATGGGAGGTTAATAGGAGATTTTTATTGTGCTTAAGATCTTATTAATTTATAATTTGAGATGGGAGAATAGTCTTGACTGTTGTAGAAATGAGTCAAAGATGACTTGAGAAAGCTCACTGATTTCTCTAAAGCAAATAACGGGCAATTTGGTTAAACTCACTTGAAAAATGCTGGATTTATTATAGACTTATTATATCTGCAGTTTCTTAATGTACTCTCTGCATGCTTTAGGCTTGCTGCTTAGTTTGTTTTACTGAATAGATTGGTGGTGTAGTGGAGGCATGCATTTCTGCTGGAAAGTCTTCTGTAAGCTGGCCTCTTTCTTCCTAAAGCGGGAATGTAAAATTAGTTTTTGAATCATCTGTTAGACTTTTGTAAATAATGCCAAATTTTAAAATATGACTTTTGTCTTCATATTTTTACCCCTAGGTATTTGGCATGCCTGTGGCTGTAAAGCTCTTCAGACATACGGCTAAACAATGTGTGGGTGACTGGGGCTTAACAATAGCTTTTCTCCTTTATAGATCATCTAATAGAGGCGATTGCTTCTGTATTTATTATTGTAATATTTCATTTCTGTCTCAGTAGTCTGTGTCATGTGAAACCTACTAGGAGCAGTATTTTTAGCAGATAACTCCCAGCCAATGGATCATGCTGATAACCTTCATGCAGCAAGTAATTTAGAAAACAGTTGAAAATCTACAGCAGTCCATTGTAACTATAAGTGACCCATTACAATTTATATATTTTTTTAGTAACAGCATGTTTTTCTCAGTACTGGGAACTGACAGAAAACCCTTGGTGAGAATGAATTGCCCCCGGTTATTTATCGTAAATCCACAGATCTCGTAGCGCGCCGTGCCAGCGGGAGCGAGCTGCGGGGCCCCGTTGGCCACGCAGGGCCCGCGGTGGTCTCGGCCGTCCTCCCCGCGGCCCCCTGCCCGGGCTGCTCGGACAGGTACTTGTCTCCAGCAACTCCAGAGCTGGAAAAGCTGGAAGTTTGCAACCGTATTATATATACCCCGGATCAAGATCGGGCTGTCAAAGCATGAAAATACCACAGTGATTTTCCTTTTAGCTGTCGGCCTGGTGATAGCATTTGCTCTCAAGCTGCTGTGCGTAACGTGTGCCAGCTCTCTTCTACTCGCGCTGTTGTTAACATGTAAAGCAGCAAATTTCCTTGGCAGTTTCCGCAAAAGTAGCGTAATATAACTTTCGTTCCGGGAAGGTGATGAGCATAATGTGACTTCTTAGCAGCCGTGAGAAGTGATGTGACACTATTAACATCTCTGCAAAAACAAGTGACAAGAGAAAAGTTCCTTTACATCATTAATCCCGTAAAATGTCACGATATTTTTGGCAAACACTTTGTTTCTACTTAAGTACCTTTTTACTGTAGATCATTTAGCTATGTATTATTTTGTGAAATTAAGAGAAAAATTAAAGCTTCTAAAACACGTTCTAAAGGCCTGAGGCTGGATTTGAAAATGAAAATTTGAACATTATATTTTAAGTTTGGAAATGACTGCTACTGACAGTGTTTCAGCTCACGCTCATACTTTTCCTGTTAGATGTATAGTTCCGTGAGAGTTGCCTGTTCGGTTGTTATTATTTTTATGTCGAATTATTTATTTTTCGCTTGAAGAGTCTCAAAAGGTGAGACAGCACTGAAGCTTTTGAATTAGTTACCTACAAATTTTACGGAGGTGGATAACCCACTACGAATATAAATGTGAAATAAAGGTAGAAAATTGAGACTTTCATATTTTTTAAGGAAAAGGCATGCATATTTTTTTAACGTCCCAATGGACAAACAAAGTATGATATGACTGAAGAACAAACTGAAATAAAATAAATCCTTCCAGGCGTACAGAGAGCATATTTTCTGTACCGCGTTGGTTTGAGAGCGCAGCGCATGCAGAAGAAAATACAATACTCTTGTGGTAGCGGCGGGGTTTTTGTGAAAGCACATTAACGCTTGCACGGCCGGGCAGCGAAGGCGGCCGTCGGGGAGGTGGCAGGCGGCGCGCTCCCCTCGGCGACGGGTCTGGCCGCCTTCCGGGCTTCGGGTTTGTCTTTCACGGCGCGAGGTTTCGCCTCGCCCAGGGCGGCCTTGAGGCGTACGCAGCGGTCCGTCGGCTGGCAAACGGAACCAGCCTAGAAAGGCTTAGAAAGTTTGGTAGTCCCTCTTAATCATTTAAGCCTTAAGAAGAGGTTTTGTAAGTGTAGTTTAATTGTAGTGCAAAAGGACAAAGGCTGTAGGTTTCGTTCTGTTTTTTTTTTTGGGGTGGGAGTTTTCATTGTAGCATGATTAGCATAGTTTTCACTAACGTTAGAAGCTTAAGTTCATAGGCATAGACTAGAAAGGGCTATTACAAAGAACGGTGCTGGTTTTCCTGTCTTGGCATTTATTATATATTGCTATTAAAACCGTGGTTGCATGAATTCGTTAATATGTTAATGAGGGGCGCTCAACTCAGAGATAGGATGTGACTAGAGTAGTTCATAAATATTACCCAAAATAGATGCCAAAGTGTGTCGAATTTCTGTGAAATACATTATTGCTGAGCAGAGGCAGAACTGGACTAGCCCGTGTAGGCTCCCAGGCTTGGGGAAGGACTTCAATGAAGCAGATCAGCTCTACAACCTTCAGAGGTATTTTCGAGATCGTTAGCGTAGGTTATCTTGTAGTATTTTGCAAACGTGTGACTACTCCATACAAAAGTAATTAGTTACATCCTTCAGGAAAAAAAAAAGTTAACAAAATTATTTTTATTTAAATGATCTACTCCTGCAAACACAAATCAGGCTATTGTCTGAAAGACTGGGAAGTTTGGAAGCAAAAAGTACAATTTGGAACTGAAATGTTTCTCAGCTGCAAGTGATATTAATAGTAATTGCCACTCACTGATCTTTCCATCCGTAGAAACAAACCATCCAAATGATAATTGTAGGATTCATTAGGATTTAGACAGATTTACAAACTAGACCCGCGAGCGGGCAGCATACATTAAGCCAGAACTTTGGCTCACATAAAGTCAGCAAAGCTGAACTGAAATCAGTGGAGCAAAGCCTGTTTTATACCATTTACCCAAAGAATAAACACGTGCCCTGTCAAAAATAGGAACAGTTGGAAACAATTACCGCAGGGAAGGATGGTGAAAAATAGCTGAAGAAAGATGTGAGGGTGCTGAAGGAGATTTCTTTAAAGCCAGCCAGCTGAAGGGTGTAAAGCAGGCCAGTGCGGCGCTGGGTGGAATCCGCAGCTGAACACTGCGGTGGCAAGAGGGGGCACTTTATAGCTTCTTCCTCGGTTCTTGTTTCCCTGAAGTGACAGGAATTCGTGTACGTTATAAATGAGAAAGAAAAGTGCTAAAGACTCCTGATACAATGAGCTGTTTTGAAAAATTGAGGGAACTTGCTCAATTTCCACTGAAGCTGAGGAAATTCAATGTTTGTAATTGCAAATCAATTAAAATCTGTTTTATTCTTTAAAGTCTCCTTTAAAATAGTGTATTTTTATTACCTGGAAACACAAAAATTAGAAGTGCTCAGGGAATGTATTACCTATAAAGAAGCTGTGAATTACTTTGGAATTGTTTCATTATAATCTCCTGACTTATTGCAAAACATTGCACGATAGTGAGATGTTTATTTCCAGATTTTCACAATCTTAAATCTAGAATTGTTCTTTTTGGTTGAACTGTGGGTAAGTTTGAGGAAGTACTGGATTCTTTGGTGTAGAGATTGTTGAAGTAATCTTTCTAGAAATTATTCATGTACTCTGCTGACTGGGAGTTTTTCCCCAATTTTTGCCCTCAGCAGAGGCAGAAGGTGCGTTACAGACTCTGTAATTCCCAAAGGGATTGACTGACTGATTGGGAAATATCCGAAGTAAGTTTAGCATTAAGAAGGAACTTCTAATGAAGGTGAACAAATTCCTGTTTCTCGGAGTAAACTCACCCAAGGAAATTGTTCTTTTTTCGTGGTTTTTGGGGACGCGTATGACCTCTGCTATGTGACAGCTATGACCTCTGTCACATGACATAACTAAATGAGAATGAGCTTTCCTTATCTCCCCCACCGCCAGCAAAAAGAAAAAAGTTCTTTTAGATCGTTCATCAGTTCTAAAGGAAAGTCATGCTGTAGTCATAAGCTAATTTTCTTTTCCCGTTATCGCCTGCTTTTCAGTGCTGTGAGGACACTTTGTTCTCCCCAGCAGCCTCAACTGAGAGCTTTGGTTTGTCATTAACTAGTACAGACGTTGGATTTTCCGTAGACGACTTCATCTGGAACCCATCAGGATGGGTTCCTTGCAGGCTTCATGTACTTCGTTTATGCCTCCTGCTCTTGCCCCGAGGCATACTGACAGTGTTCGTGTTACTGATAACAGATTTTGATTCAGGAAATTGACTTCACGGAGTTGTGCAGCCCACACAGTATTTTAATGCTAGGGGCTGTCTTAAACATTCAAAAAATCATCGTTATGGATTCTTTTGATTGTTAAATGTGCATACTTTTCTTAACTTCATCTTCCCTTTCCTATCTAATTTTATTGGTTATTTGATGTGTGGCTTTCTTGGGTGTGTCTCTGTTTAACACCTGGCACTGCTTTCTTTTGTTGAGCAGTGGGTGAAGTATTTGGCCCTAAGTTTACTTCCTGTGTAGTTATCCTCACTTCAATAGAAGACGACTAAACTTAGGCCATTCTGGTTTTTCCATTTTCTTACAGTTTGCTGTTTTGTGGTTCATAAGAGATGCCATGAATTTGTTACCTTCTCATGTCCTGGGGCTGACAAGGGACCTGACACTGATGTAAGTACATTGGAATTTGATATATTGCTTTTATGAATAGTTTTATGTTGTTACACCTAACTGTAAAAATGCATTGAAAACAATGTCAATAGGTTCTTTATGATAGATATCTGTAGTCCTAACAGTTTTTAATGGTTCTGAAGTGAATAGTGAAGATTTATAGATTTTAAAGATCTATTTCGGTAAGAAGAGTAACTACTGATGAAGTTGTGAGCGAGATCAGTGTAACAGCCCTGAGATGTGTAGCCAGCAGGAAGTCAGTGTTTTATTTTTTGTTGCTTCATGTCAATTGTTTTTGATATTAACAATGCCCAGGAAAGCCCGTGGGTCTTTTTGTTTGTTTTTTTTTGTTTTCTGAGCTTGTTTTTGTGTGCAGCTTGTCTCAGGGTATAACTTCAGAGCAGACCCCAGCCCATGTCCTCTCTGCACACAAGGATCTATAGCTCCAGTTAGACGATGGTTTAAAATTGAGCCAGCTGGCTTATCTGAGATGGGATTTTTAAACTTGAGTTTTATTGATGCTTGAGTTAACGTGCCAGTCCGGATACACCCATTCTATCCTGTTTTATCAGTACTTTTATATACACATAGCATTTTTGCTCAATAGCAGGTATTTACTTTCAATATATCTTCATAATAAGACATACGTACAAGAATGTTATGCTGCTCTGCTGAAATAATAAACTGATCTTGTTTATTCACATAAAAATAACATTTATTTGGGATTTATAAGTTCCGCCTTACAGTGAAGTAGTTTAACATCTGCTTATGGGAACAATACATTCAGAGTATTATTTGTCTAAACTGCACTGTTTTTCTTTTGATGTATTCATGCTCTAGATTGTAGGCTATTATCTCCTCTGATGAAATCCACCAGAATACTTTTCTTATTAGGTTTTAATAAGCTTTTTGTGAATTGTTTTAAGATGCTAGACATGAGATCAGTGAACAATATATGGGCAAAGAGTTGAGAATTTTGGAAAATGTAAGATATTTTAAAAGGTTTGTTATTTTTAAGAATAGGAAAGTGTCTAAGAACTGAGAAATATTTTAAGAATAATTTGATTTTTTTTAAAGTGAAATGCATTTCATACCATCAACATTTAGGTACATAAGACAAGTGCTTAAGTTAGGAGTATAGTCCTCCTGATCAGGTTCCCCTGCTCAGCGGATGGAGAGGGATAGTCACCTCCAGAGAGCAGACCAGCTCTTAGATAGCCTGAGTAATTAATACAAGTCAGAGCATGTGATTCAAGAAGTCAGGCGTCAAGCATGAAGCAGTTACATTGATTAATTGTGCAAAGAACATGGATACCAGCGAAGGTTTATTGGGCATGTTGAATGGGACGAGGGAATAGGTGATGCCAGTACAGCCGTGATGCTCCGCTCTGGAGTTGGAACAGTTATCCAGAGTTGTACGCAAAGCATCCCTTTCCACTCGCAGTGCAGAGCACAGCTTTCTTGAAGAAAGGCACTTCACTGAGCTGAGGTCAACTTTTATGACAGAAGTCAAAGGAAGAGACTTTTGCACAACAGCACGGAAGTTAGAGTGCTCGCGCTGACGATAAAGCAGGGGCTGTCAGGCTTGCACGCAGCCTCGCCAGCTAATGCAGGGAGGAGCCCGGTCCTCAGCTGTGTTTTTGCTCTCACAGCATTTTTATCAAAGGACTCTCTGCTATAGAACAATCCTGAAGGTGGGAACAAGAGCCCCAGATTGTTCTTCACGCCCTTCCATTTATGAAAGTTCCTGAATCTTCAAGTTTTGAAGGGAAGTGAGGAGATTAGCCCTGGCAGTATAGTGCGACAGTTAAAGCAGCCTCTTGGAATTTGGAAGTTGTGGATTTGAACTGCCCCGGGCTACTGAAAGCCTGGAGTTCAGGTCCATCGCAGTCTCTCAAACTATTACAGAAAAGGGAGATGGCGACACCTGCTCTCTCTCCACTCCCCTCTCTAAAAGAAAGTAACTACAACTGCTATTTTTTGTTGTGGTCCAGGTGACTTTAGGAATAGTCTAAGCATGCCTACTAATTTGGATCCCACTGGATGGCATTAAGGTGCCTCCTAGAATTGCAGTACAGCTGCCTGTACAAGTTAGGTACCTTAGTGCTGAGACGGGAGTGCTGCTACACCGCGTTGGGAGGCAGCCCTTCGTGCTTCGTTAAGAGACCGTCACCCTGCACAGTGAAGGGGCCGTTTAGCCTTATAGTTAGGTAGAATTATCGGGTGGGTTTATTTGGGATTTCTTCAGATTGGGGCAGAGCTTAGGCATACTTAAGTTTTCTCAATTTTAGCCACCTTGCCTCTTCACATGCAGTTCATGGGTCCCAAGTAGTGCCTCCATCAAACTATCTACCTGCCTGTTCAGCCCCAGTTTCGCAGGCAGTGACGGTGCCCACGTTGCGCGGCATCTTCTGCCACGCGACCCACTTTTCTAGAGCCTCCTATACAAAATTTGTTAGGCAACAGCTTACAAACCAAGTGAGTTAACTTCTATTACCAAACTGAGGAAATGTCACCGTTGTCAGATTTAAGCCAAGGTGGGCAGTAGTGCCAAATTAATACTACTGGGTTTATCTTTAGCCCAACAGTTTCTTGGCTTGGATGAAATGTTGATGTCATTGGTGCCAGTGGCAAAATGCTTGGTAACAGTAAAGGGACCAGAATTTAAGCAGAATGATCCTAAGTCTGCATAATTAATCGTACTCTAAAATGCAGTGGCTGCCTACTAGCAATAAATTGATTATTTGCTTTGGTCAGCCCTAAAAGCCAAGTAAAATAAACAATTAAATCTAGTTTTATATTAATGCTCAATTATGCAAACAGGTTGTTAATAAAAAGTACTGTTGATTGAGAATTTTAGTGGTGACACTTGTGGCTATGTTGTCTATATCTATAATGAATGCTTTGACTCAAATGTGTTTCCGATTTTTTTTTTTTTTAGCTGGATTCTTCAGGGTGTTTTTGATTGCTTTTCCTAAAGTGCATAAATGAGAACAGACATTTGTGTGCGAGATCATTTAATTTTATTGAGAATCTCTTTATTATTATAAAATGCGTTATGTAGCCGTTTCTTGATAGTCTTTGATATTGCTGACTGCATTCTTGGTTTGTTTTTTGTTTTGTTTTATTTTTTGCCCCAGTGATTAAATAAATCAGCCTAATGCCTTATTTCAGTATTTGGGTTACCGAATGATCTTTTTCAGTATTTACGCAGAAGTGATAGCTCAAAAATGCTTTGAGGATCAAAAGCAATACAGAAAATAAATATGTTTTATTAGAACTGTGCTACATTAGCAGGTCCTATTAAACAAAGAGGATTGTAGAATGTTAACACTTTAATTTACTGAAATGTTTGTCTGACTTCAGCGTCTACCCTTTTATAATCTAGTATCCTATTACTGTCCAAGCTAGTATAAGTTTAGTTCTGAAATGTAATTTGCTGTAAAGGTTCTCATAGTATGTAGCAGATTTTTAAATATGAAAAACAAAAAGGACTTTTATAAACAACTAGCAGGTTATGCAAGTGCATGATTAATTTGCATACTCAAATTCTCCAAGGTCTTTGCATGATGTAGACTATTTGTTATTTATAAGGAGAGGAATATGGCTGTTAAGAGAATGAAAGTTTCCAGAGCGTTATCATATACATTTTGTGTTTTTTTGTCTGTGTGTCTGTCTCTTTCTAATCAAACACATATTAAAAAATTAGAGGGAGAAAAAGACAAACAGATGTATCTGCATATATAAATGCATCATCTTTGTATTCTGTTCAGGTGAAGAAATTCCCAACTTTTTGCATTGAGACACTTCTTAATAATGTGTTTTTCCTGTAAGCTTTCTCCAGAGACATTTATTATGAGAGACAGCAATTTTCATATTAGAAAATACTATGGGATGTTACTAGTGAGAATAACGAGGAGCCAGTATGTCAGAATCAAAGAACAGTGAAAGTCTGCTAGGGAACTGCTTCGAATACCGAATTTTTGCAAGCTGTGTGCTTGCGTCCTTGCCTTTTAGGCAGCATTATTTTGCCTTCAAAAAAATATATATATTTGTAATTGTCTATGTTGCACTGTACTTTTAACATAAAGCAGATAATCCTCACAGCTACGTTATGGGAATAGTTGTCAGTTAACGTTATTTTCTGTAGTAAGGACACTCCACAGTCTAACAGCCAGATAGGTGCCTTGCAACCTGTGTCAATCAAGCTCAGACTCTGGGATGCACAAAACACGCCTGCCCCGAGACAAAATCGCCTTTTCCAGCCCGTCAGCGGGGTGCGACTCCTTGCAGGCAGTTCCTGCAGGTGAGTGTTCACAGCCATCCCTGCTGAGGCCTGAGATATCTAGGACATGACGGCAAGGTCTTATTTATAGATTTCTCTTGAGGCGAGGTAGTGTGGTATTCACGCTGCGTGCCTCAAGGGATGGGAAGGGTTTGTTAGTCCGTTAGGAAGCCTCCGAGAGGGGAAGAAACTTAGTTTCTAGAAGCATTCTTCTGACCTCCATGAAGGCTAAATGTGCACGTATAACTCAAGAGTGAGATCTAAGTGTATCTTTAAAATAATGCTTTTTTTGAAAGGGAGGAGAGGGTAACTTTGAAATAAATGATGTGCAAAGAGTTTTCTTAAATCACAGAGGTGAGATGATAAGTGATTTTCAAAGCTCTTTGCAAAAATAGGAAATTCCAGCGACTGTTTTAATAATTTCTCTCTATATATTTGACAGTTGCAAAAGAAACGTTTAATTTCTAGATATTTGCAGACAGTCAAAAATTAATGTTCAATTTCGGGATATTTGAAGACCGTCATTGCGAAAACAAAAGGGATTTCAGACTATACTGCCCACAGGGCTTTTCTTGTTTGGTAGCCTTTCTTCCATGCCAGTTTTTAATAAAGTTTGACTACTCAGCTGTATAAAAGCCCTGTGATCTATAGCATGCTAAAAATAGTGGCGTACAGATTTTGTCTCTGAAGAAATGAAGGTTCCTTTTTTGGAGGT